ATATATATACTCATGGAGATTTACTGGATTGACCCTATTTGTAACATACTGGTGGAAAACACTAATTTAATAGCATCATCTACATGCAAAAAAAAAAGGGCTAAAAATAATGGAAGTCTTATTAATTAAAACAAACAAAAACATTATATAAATACATACATACAACAATCTATTTCTTTTTAACAGTCAATATATTTCAATCTTGAAAATGGATAAATGTATAGCCGAAAGCGCTCGGAAAAAAACAATTGGACAGCTTTTATATAATTTATCATGATCACATGAGAAATTGTATAAAAAACTTAAAGCATCTTGACTGTCGTGTTCAATGAAACGTGCCTGAAATAATATTGCTGGCTAACCACACACACACACACACACACACACACACACACACACATATATATATATATATATGACTGTGTGTGTGTGTGTGTGTGGTTTGGTTGCGTGTGTAGAAGAGATAAGATATCCGTTGGTATATAATCCAAGTAGATCCTAATAGTATAAAATATTAAAACTGATACACAAAAAGAGGTCAATGTATTTATTATTACAGAGCAAATATTTAATAGACAATAAAATCGAAAATTACCGCATCTAGGACATAGGCTTATTTCAAACGACGAAAACTTCGTCAGTTTTAGTGAACCTAAGTGTTGAGGTAATTTTGGATTTTATTGTGGACTAACTATACACACACAAACAACTCCCATATATATATATATATATATATATATATATATATATATATATATATACATCGGGTGTAAAAACAAAATTGTCCTAATCGTGTAACAGCAAAATTGTTAGAATAAGGTTTGAATGAACCGCTGTATCTTAGAAATGATTAAAGATATCTTACTGGAATTCTCCGAGATTTTTATAACATTATATATTAAAATCTCTATCTATAAAAGGCAGATGTGTGTGTGAGTGTTTGTGTGTGTGTGTGTGTGTGTGTGTGTGTGTGTGTGTGTGTGTAACGAATGCACGGCCGCAATTTTCGACGGATTTGCACCAAAATTCACATGCACATGCTCCAAGTTAGTGGGAAGGCCAAGACTGACTTTGCATTTCCCAACTTCCATTGATAGTGGAAATAATTGATTTTATCATGCGTCTACAGCAGTTTTCATGTAGTTTGCGGCCATTTTCTACTGGCCAGATTGAGAACCTATAGCTGGCTTCCACGAATAGGCATGAAGATTCTATTGACCAGCGTGAGGGCCAACAGCTGACTGACACGAATGCTAACTAGCATGCTAGCATGCAAAAAATTCGATAGCTGCATTCGTCACCATTGGGAAAAATTTAAATCTGCATGGCACTTTACTCCAATTGGCTCATTCGTTTGCTTAAACTCAACGCTGATTCTGATTCCACAGAACTGGGTTGCGTGTGAAAAAGTATTTGTTGTTAACATTCTTTTTTCATTTGTTTTTTTCCAGTTACGAGTCCTTTTTTTAAAGCTGATCGTTTTGTGTTCATTTTGTTTAGTTCTTTATATATATATATATATATATATTTCCGATTATAATAATATATATATATATATATATATATATATATATATATATATATATATATATATATAATTATTTATTTAAAAATATGATTCCAAATCGCCTAATTAATTCCTTTGTTTTTTGTAAAAGTTTAACAAAATAATTCCGTTTGTTTGTTAGTGGAATGTTTTTGAGAGAAATCCCTAAATTAATTTTTTTCATATTTTTAAAGGAGTATTTAAAAATAAACGTTTAGAGTGCTCGACCTAAATTAAGGAGCCAATAATATGTGAAAATATATAGAAAATAGGAAGGAACTGGTTAGGTAAATAATCCAAAGTCCCTTAGTATTTTAGTTATTATTTTTAAAAAATAGTGCTCGATACAAAAGTAGAAAAATATATATATATATATATATATATATATATATATATATATATATATATATATATATATTACAGTAATCGGAAAGAACAATGGGAATTTATTTCTATTTTTTAAAAACAGTGCTCGATACATCCATAGGGCAAAATATTATAATTGTTTTTTTTCATATATAATCATCGCAACACCAGAATTCCCATATTTTAGAACTGAATTGAAGTTTCAGTTTTGAAACATGATAATTTCGTTGTTGTGATGATTACATATAAAAACAAACAATTATATAATATATATATATATATATATATATATATATATATATATATATATATATATATATACTAGCAGTAGAACCCGGTGTTGTCCGAGGATGTAACAGTAAGAGATAGATCAAGTATCGACCATCATAAAGACTGAAAAATAAAATTGTTTAAGATTGACGGATAGGCATGTCTTAATTAGTTTTTTCTTGGGTTTTTTTTGCGAATTGGTCAAACCCAAACTCAAACAAAATCATTGTTTTTAATCGTTATGAGTCTAGCGATTGAATAGAATTTAATTATAAACAATTGTCTTGTAAATGGAACTTTTTACAGCATTCTGAATGAAAAAATAAAGAAAAAAGTGTGCAAGACAATAAGAAACACTACCTGCCAAAAAAAAAAGAAAAAAAAGAAGTGAAGTTTTGTTGAAATCGGTTGAAAAATGTAGGAAATCCGATCCCATATATAAACAAACAAACACACAACCTGGGTTTTATAATAAGTATAACTCGATATGAGTTGTCCCCCTTTCATTCACGACAGCAATGCCTCTTAATCGTGTTTTTAAATTGATTTCGTGCAAAAACAAGTATTTTTCCAATTTTTGGCGCTGTCAGAACCACCGCAAGGTAATTTTATTTGGTCCTGTGAAGTTTTGTTGAAATTGGTTGAAAAATGTGGGAAATCCGATCCAATATATGAACGTACACACACACACACACACACACAACCTGGGTTTTATAATAAGTATGATATATATATATATATATATATATATATATATATATATTATATTTCTGTGTATAAGGTGACCTTTAGAAGACGAGGTAAAAAATACAGCAAATTTTCATGAATTTATTCTATACCTGTAGTATAAAATGACTGCTTATTGATTCTATAAAGATGATGTTATTGGAAATGCTGCTACTTACTATATCCTTAGAAATTCAAAACAGACGAAATAACAAAACTAATTCTATATCATATTTTCTCTACAAATGTCCCTTAAAAGGGAAACCATTATTTTTTTACTTCTTTAATACGTGATCTTTTGCGAATAGTAATTCTTCTTCATGTCTCACATCCAAACAGTTTCAAACAATTTCGTGTATTCGGAATTGTAAAACATTTGGACACATTCTACACACTCTCTGTCCAAAAAAGAAAACATTTGTTCCAACACAAGCCTAGTACCTTGTCTATTGTTTTTAATGAAACATGCAAGGATGAAGGATTGCTGCCTAAAACACACACACACACACACACACACACACACACACACACACACACACACACACACACACACACACACACACACATATATATATATATATATATATACTTATTAAATATATAATGCGTTACTTAAAAATCCCAAACTGCAAAGAATAGATAAAAATAAATAAAACAAAATAATCAAACACAAGTGAAATAAATTAATCCAAATAAATAAATAAATAATAAACAAATTAACAAACCATCCCCGCCAAAATAACCGTTAGAATAGACTACCTACAACGCTATAGACTACCCACAATGCACCACTGACCCGTATGTATAAACAATCGATAAAAAACAACGCATGTGGCTTGATGATTTCGTTTAGCATGAAACAGTCTGTTTTTTTATGTTTAACATTCTTTTTATAGATACAAATATTTAAGTAAATGCTCTGTTCATAATAAACAGTATTAAACAACATTTACCGGCCTGTAAGTCCGAGAAATTTTCACAGAAAATATTCGTCCTCCGACAGGATTCGAACCTGTATCCTATACGGAACCGTCATTTAAGCTTGACGTGGTTTTACCAATTAGGCCACGAAGGAGCGTTCGGTTAGCGAGGTCGAATTTACTGTATTTAAACTTCAATCTTCCATGAATCTCTCACGTACATTCATGTCTGTTCATGGCGTATCCAAATATAAACAAATGACGTCACACATTATGAAATGGACAAAATCCGACAATTATTTTAAGACATTTTTATGTTTGAAATTCTTTTTATAGAAACAAATATTTAAGTAAATGCTCTGTATATAATAAACATAAAAATGTCTTAATATATATATATATATATATATATATACACATATAAGGGAGGGAGAGAGAGAGAGAGAGAGAGTAATGTAATGTCTGACCGCTCATGTCCGAGTATGCGTGTCTGCTAAGGCGGCTAGACAATTCCTATTGCAGACTTCCACCTGAGGTTAATACTCTAAGTATGAGGAGTGGACATTAGTTACAGTTTCCGGGAGAGAGCGCATTATATGGCCGGATTAATAGTGTGAACAAGGGCAGTACGCTCAAACACTCGGTCACAATGACTTGCGATTTCGCGCTAGCTCAACGAAATAGTTCCGTGTACCCAATTTCACTCACAAGCCATGGTTTTTAAGCATTCCAAAAGTGCCTCGCGCTGGGATCGCTTCCACAGTCCGATAACATCACGGTGAGATTCGAACCCGTATCTCATAGTCGGAAAGCGGCCACACACATACATATATATAACATTCAACCGGCAGCCATCTTGAATAAAAACAGCTATAATAACTTATTAACCTTAGCAGGAGACCGATATTGGTATAAAAATCCAATTATCATGCTTACCAGTTTATAAAGCATTCTCATGACAAAGAGACATCAAGAATGATCAGAAGCCATGGTTTAGGGTAGGGTATGGGTGGAGTTAACTCCTACCCTCATCATGCGTTTTATATAACAGCAAAGGGATATTTTTGAGTTACGCTTTCATATAATTTCAAATGATATAATTAGAAAACCTATTCACTCTCGCGAAATAATTTGGAACGAAATTTGTTAAAATATCAGTTTTATATTGCACAATGGAGTTAAAGGAAATCTTAGCACGACCCTTTTCTTTCTCTTGTTTATCTTTTAGACTTCTTTCTTTCTTTTCGTTTTCCTTTTAGAATTCTTTCTTTCGTTCTTTCTTTCTTTCTTTGTGTTTGACAGTCGTTTTTCCTTTTAGAGTTCTTTCTTTGTTTCTTTGTTTCTTTCGTTCTTTGTTTGTTTGTTTGTTTCTTTCTTTCTTTCGTTCTTTCTTTCTTTGTTTTTGACAGTCATTTTTACTTTTAGAGTTTTCTTTCTTACTTTCTTTCTTTGTTTTTGACAGTCGTTTTTCCTTTTAGAGTTCTTTCTTTCTATCTTTCGTTCTTTCTTTCTTTCTGTCTGTCTGTTTCATTTTTCCGTTTAGAGTTCTCTCTTTCATTCTTTCTTTGTGTCTGTAGTTTTCTTTTTAGAATTCTTTCTTTATGTCTGTCTCGATTTTCCTTTTAGAGTTCTTTTTTTCTTTCTTTTATCTTTCTTTCTTTCTTTCTTTTTGGTTTTTTCTTTTAGAGTTCTTTCTTTCATTCTTTCTTTCTTTCTTTCTTTCTTTGTGAATGTCGTTTTCTTTTTAGAATTCTTTCTTTATGTCTGTCTCGATTTTCCTTTTAGAGTTCTTTTTTCTTTCTTTTTTCTTTCTTTCTTTCTTTCTTCCTTTTTGGTTTTTTCTTTTACAGTTCTTTCTTTCTTTCTTTCTTTCTTTCTTTCTTTCTTTCTTTCTTTCTTTCTTTCTTTCTTTGTGAATGTCCTTTTCTTTTTAGAATTCTTTCTTTATGTCTGTCTCGATTTTCCTTTTAGAGTTCTTTTTTCTTTCTTTTATCTTTCTTTCTTTCTTTCTTTCTTTCTTTTTGTTTTTTCTTTTAGAGTTCTTTCTTTCATTCATTCATTCATTCATTCATTCTTTCTTTCTTTGTGAATGTCGTTTTCTTTTTAGAATTCTTTCTTTATGTCTGTCTCGATTTTCCTTTTAGAGTTCTTTTTTCTTTCTTTTATCTTTCTTTCTTTCTTTCTTTCTTTTTGTTTTTTCTTTTAGAGTTCTTTCTTTCATTCATTCATTCATTCATTCATTCTTTCTTTCTTTGTGAATGTCGTTTTCTTTTTAGAATTCTTTCTTTATGTCTGTCTCGATTTTCCTTTTAGAGTTCTTTTTTTCTTCCTTCTTTCTTTCTTTCTTTCTTTCTTTCTTTCTGTCTGTCTGTTTCGTTTTTCCTTTTAGAGTTCTTTCTTTCATTCTTTCTTTGTGTCTGTCGTTTTCGTTTTAGAATTCTTTCTTTATGTCTGTCTCGATTTTCCTTTTAGAGTTCTTTTTTCTTCCTTCTTTCTTTCTTTCTTTCTTTCTGTCTGTCTGTTTCGTTTTTCCTTTTAGAGTTCTTTCTTTCATTCTTTCTTTGTGTCTGTCGTTTTCGTTTTAGAATTCTTTCTTTATGACTGTTTCGATTTTCCTTTTAGAGTTCTTGTTTTTTTCTTTTATCTTTCTTTCTTTTTTCTTTCTTTCTTTCTTTTTGGGTTTCCTTTTAGAGTTCTTTCTTTTATTCTTTCTTTCTTTCCTTCCTTCCTTCTTTCTTTCTTTCTTTGTGTCTGTCGTTTTCTTTTTAGAATTCTTTCTTTATGTCTGTCTCTATTTTCCTTTAGAGTTCTTTCTTTCTTTCTTTCTTTCTTTCTTTCTTTCTTTCTTTCTTTCTTTCTTTCTTTCTGTCTGTCTGTTTCGTTTTTCTTTTTAGAGTTCTTTCTTTCATCCTTTCTTTGTGTCTGTTGTTTTCGTTTTAGAATTCTTTCTTTATGACTGTTTCGATTTTCCTTTTAGAGTTCTTATTTTTCTTTCTTTTATCTTTCTTTCTTTCTTTTTGGTTTTTCTTTTTAGAGTTCTTTCTTTTATTCTTTCTTTTTTTCTTTCTTTCTTTCTGTCTGTTTCGTTTTTCCTTTATAGTTCTTTCTTTTTTTCTTTGTGTGTGTCTGCTGTCTTTCCCCATAGAGTTCTTTCTTTCTTTCTTTCTTTCTTTCTTTGTGCCTATCTGTCATTGTTTTTTCTTCTTTCTTTCTTTAAGCACTCACATTTCTTCATATAACGTTCAATGTAAACTTTGTATAAATAATTCTCTCCTCTGCCATAAAAGTGTAAAATTAATTATTTCCAGCCTTCCCCCATTCACACCATTATTATTCCTATTCATCAATGAATGTTCTTCATGCGCAAATAGCCTTCTGATTACTATGAATCCACCCCCCCAGTTATGGGTTAAAAAGTAGAACGTATATGGAAAAGTCAGTTTTACTGTAAAAAGTGTTAATACAAAATTCACTGACAAAAGAAAGAATTTTTCTCACAATACAAAATAAGTTTCGGCTTTAAATAACCCAGAAAGTGTTGATAAACCGTAAAACACAAACCAATCAGCCAATCTTAATTTATTATTTGAGAGAAGCATTTAGATTAGTCGGTGATGAGATGATCCGAAAGTAATAGTCACGTATTTGACAGGTGACGTTTTTGGGAGTGAAAAAGCATAAGGAAGGGATAGACAGATAGATAGATAGAGAGATAGATAGAGAGAGAGAGAGAGAGAGAGAAAGAAAGAAAGAGAGTTTGTGTATGTATTTGAAAGAGAGAAGAACGAGAAAGAGAGAGAATTGTACAGATATAAAAGGAAGGAGAGCTAGAAAAAGTGTCAGAGGAAGAATGATGTTTGAGAGAGTGAGAGAGAGGCACAGAAAGAAAGGCAGAGAGGGGAACTGGATGGAGAAAAAGAAAAAGAGGAAGAGAGAAACTGAGATGAAAAGAAAAAGAAAAAGCGAGTAAAAAGAGAAAAGATTCTAGAATGAGTGGTGTGGGGAGAAGGAAGAGAAAGAAAGTGTGAAACGAAACAGAGCGTAGAAAGAGAGAGAAAAAGTGACAAAAAGAAAATAGAAAAGAGAGATGACGAACATTCAGAAGAGAGAAAAATGGAGGGAGAGGAATAAATAAAAAAGAAAATAGCAACAATGAAGTATGAGAGAGACAACAAATATGTATATAAAAGATTGCACATGAGAGAGAGAGAGATAGAGAGAGAGAGAAAGAGAAAGAGAGAGAGAGAGGAAAAAGAAACGAACTAATGGAATAAATAAAGGAGAGCTGGAAAAAAAGGAGAGTAATGAGAATGAGACAAATGGAGAGCGACAAAGGAAGAGAGAAGAATGGTTGATTTATTGTTTATTTATTGATTTATTTTTACGGCTTATCAACCCTTTGCAGTTTATTTAAAGCCAGAAATCATTTTTTAGATTGAAATAGATTTTTCCTTGGAGGTAATAATATCTTATTGATACACATCTTACTAATTAACCTATATTTCGTGAAAAAGATGTAGATTCATACCTTTCCCACGAGTATTTGCGTGTAATTGAATATAACGAACCCAACAGGAATTGGAACTTGGCTCTCAGATTAACCATTTTTCTTTAATACTTTCACCCCAAGTAAGGCGATAATCCTAATAAGACGTAAGAGGCTACTGGATTCGAAAGAGAAAAGAAATTTTTTTAGAAGGAACCGGAAATCCAATCTTAAACAGGAAACAAGGGATAAACTTCTATTCCTGTTTAAAAGCCCAGGGAGATGTCTGAGTCATTGTCCATTACACCCTACCTACAGCAACAGACATTCCAAAGCGGTCACCCATCTAGGTACTGACCAGGCCCGACGCTGCTTAACTTCGGTGATCGTATGGGAATCGATGTTTCAACGTGATGTGGCCGTAAGCCAAGAGCGAAGAGAGGAGACGAGATAAAGAATATGCGTGTGTGTGTGTGTGTGTGTGTGAAAGAGAGATAGATAGATAGATAGATAGATAGATAGATAGATAGATAGATAGATGGATGAATAAAGAGAGAGAGAGGGAGAGAGAGAGAGAAAGAGAAAGAGAAAGAGAAAGAAATATTAATGAACCATCTGGATTTTTAATTTCCTTGAAACTCAAAACACCGGTTTCTACCTTGCCACAACGAATAAAAAGAGATTCAGAAAGAGATCACTCTTGTATGCAATTGCTACTAGAGTCCTGAATGCAATATAGATACGGACTACGATTTGGAAGTTCTGGGTTTGACGATAAACTACATCCAGCAGCAAGGCCTCTGATCAGGAGATTGGATGGTTTGAGAAGCGAGAAACTATCTCTTAATTGCTGTTTTTTCCAGGTCCACTTTAACCCGGGGTGGTAGCATCTGTTAGGGCCGGAGCTATGGTCAAATAGTGAACCCCACCCTCTAAAAATACTATCTCTATCTATAAAAGGCAGGGTGTGTGTGTGTGTGAGTGTGTGTGTGAGTGTGTATGTGTGTGTGTAACGAATGCACGGCCGCAATTTTCGACGGATTTGCACCAAAATTTACATACACATGCTCCAAGTTAGCGGGAAGGGCAAGACCGACTTTGCATTTCCCAACTCCTATCGATAGTGGAAATAATCGATTTTTTCATGCTTCTACGGCAGTTTTCATGTAGTTTGCGGCCATTTTCTACTGGCCAGATTGAGAGTCTATAGCTGGCTGCCACGAATAGGCAGAAAGATTCTATTGGCCAGCGTGAGAGCCAACAGCTGACTGACGCGAATGTTAACTAGCATGCTAGCATGCAAAAAAAATCGATAGCTGCATTCGTCATATGTGGGAAAAATTTAAATCTGCATGGCACTTTACTCCAATTGGCTCATTCTCTTGCTTAAACTCAACGTTGATTCTGGTTCCTCAGAACTGGGTTGGGTGTGAAAAGTATTTGTTGTTAACATTCTTTTTTCATTCGGTTTTTCCAGTTACGAGTCCTTTTTTAAAGCTGATCGTTTTGTTTTCATTTTGTTTAGTTCTTTTTTCGTAACAGATTTAATGTTTAGTATAGTGTTTAGAAAAAATTCGCAGTGTGAGATAGGCAAGAAGTAAGGCATGTAGCAACATCAGCAAGGCAAAGGACACTTGTTTAAAGGAAAGGAAGGGCAAAAATATTTTAAGTCAAGTGATAGCGATTGCTGTATGAGTCGTACGATTTTTGAATCAAGCACGGGCAACGCCGGGCCATGCCGCTAGTGAAAGTATACAAGTAGGAAAAAAATACAAACAATATATTTTTATATATTAAAAAATGACCAACAATACATTTTTTGTAGTTGAACGCATACACGTTCTTTCGAAATATATTTAGTTGAAGTAATAAAATTGTGTTGAAATTATTTAGATTACGGCCTTTAGGTGTTGATATGTTGTTAAACAAAATAAATCAGCCAACGAATTGGAGGTGCCAACATCAAGTTCAAAAGGTTAAAAGTCTGGGAAATGTTTTAACAGAGGCTGGAAAATGTGACACCGAAATACGAAGGCGTATTGGAAATAGCGAAAGATGAATTCTAAAAGCTAAGCAAGCTACTGACGAAATATCAAAAGTGTCGTCGATTACGAATTGATAGAATCTCGAACTGTAGACGTTTTTTTTTTTTTTTTATGTCAGCAAATGAAGAATTACTCCGAATGTGCCGTGCTTTCGTAAACAGAAAATGATTTACTCTTCAACACTGAAATATTTGAATCAAAGAAAAAATAATTTTGACCTTTGACTCGAAGAGGTTAAGATTGCGTTCAGGGAAGTAACTACGCTGGAGTCTACTTATTAAAGTAGTAGCTCTTCATTAAAAGGCAGAGTGGAATTTTCTTTTTACCATTGGAGAACGGAGTATGGCAGTATCATGTTGTGTTCAACCCCTAAAGTTTTGAACTTGACGAGTGGAATCCATTTAAACAATTGCCCTGGAAATAGCGATACTTCAACAATCGGCTTGTAGAGTTTCTTCATACGAGAAAGAAGGCAGCAGAGTGGGAGATAGGTTGTTGATGGCGCGACGACGAAAACGAAAATAAGCATTGAGCAGTTCCAGACTAGTTATGGTTCCATGTTTGTGCGTTGTGGTGTAAAGGATATCGGCTCGAGGCGAGAACTCGGAGAGCCGGGTTCGAATTCCAGTCGAATCCATTACATTCACTTACGTGCAAATACCGTTGGGAAAGGTAGGAATCCACTTCTTCTTCCCCGCCCAGCTATGGTTTGAACAGGAGGACAGTCTGGGTTCTTTAGCACTGGATGGCAACTAGTCTACCGCAGAAAGAAATGGCAACCTACTGCGGGAAAAAAATCTGCATCGCCAGTCATATATCGAAAGATACATGATCGCCCAAGTGTGTATCACATGCAGCACTTAACTGAAAGAGTCGACAGTGATTTAGGTGAGGAAGTTGTGGAGAGACATGATCGTCCAAGCGTGTATCACGTATGGGACTGACTCGATTTTTGGTCTAAATTAAATCGTGCGGAGATAAAACGTGTCAGAAAAAGTCAAGCATTTCTTGTAGATCTTAATCAAGACATGGCATGTCCTAGTAACTCTAAGCTGGTTTAAATAAAGAATGGAGCTGAGGTAAACTGAGACACCATCAATCAATCGCAGAAGAGCGTGACGTGGGTATATAAAAAAAATTAGCTACCTAGAAAACCAGAAAAATCATAGCTGGCCACTCGTATTCGAGGATACCCGTCTACTAGGGCGACTAGCTAATCCCTATTGAAGATTCTTGCTCAAGCACATTTGTGTTTGTTCAACACTCTGTGGTTTATACTGCAACTATGCTGGGAAGACCTTAGTTACAGTTTCTGGGAGAGAGCGTGTTATCTAGCGTGATCAACAATTTGTACAACGCCAGCACATTCAAGCCCTCGGCCACGATGACTTGTGGCTTCGTTGTAGCACAGCTATCGACGGCCCTCAAGAGTTCCGTCTACCCAATTTCACTCACAAGGCTTGGATCAACAAAATAACATCTTATCAATACAAAAATCGGATCGTCTATATCGAACTATCAATAACATAAAACATCGACTACCTGCATCAGAAATTAAAGACTTTATACGGAAATAGTAAACGGAAACACAGAAGACACACAGACATAAAACAAAACCTATCCATCACGAGACTGGGTGATAAGCGGGAGTAATTATTGTGATTTACGACAACCAACTTAACCTCAGAGATACTCAAGACACCATTTTGTCTTTCTTTTAGTCGAACTGATGACGCCAAAGAAGACATTATTTTTATTCTGCGAAACGCGTCTTTGATATAAAATTGTCCATTTTGTCTGTTCATTTTCACTCTTGTTCTTCACTCAGATCGAATGCTTGACTTGTCAATCAATTGTCTCAAACACATTGCCCCAATGAGCTTCGAGTTGTCGAACAAAAACCACGCCCCCACAAAAGAATTCAACGAAAAAAAAAAAGTATACTTTTATAACTCGATATGTTTTTGTAAACATTATGTTCAACATATAAAATTGGCGACCTGAGCAACATTTCCGCGTATTTCACGATGCCTGGAAATGATTCGACTTTAACTTTCATAAATTCATTTTATCAAAATTAAATAAGACTTAATTCGTCGTCGCTATCTTGCTTTTCCGATAAACGCGTATCTTGAGTAAGAAGGAGAAACAGAGAAAGAAAAACAAATGGCAGATCAGGTTATTGTATTTCTTTAGGAACAAGCAAAAAAAAATAAAAATAAAATAAAAAAAATAATAATACAAGAATGAAATAAAATAGACCAGTCTTAATCTACCTTAAAATTTAGTGGGGAAAAAATAACAAATTGATATTCAATGTCTAAAGCAATTTCAAGCAAAATCTACATTTTCCAGGCAGTAACATATATATATATATATATATATATATATATATATATATATATATATATATATATGTATATGTATAGATAGATAGAGAGATAGATATAGATATCTGCCGGCGAGAAAAACCCACAAAAGCTACATATTCTTAGCAATGTACAACGAAACCTCGATCACTTCTTAATCTGGAAAAAAAGTGAATTTTTATACCCGTGCTCGGAGGGAGAAACAATATTTAACCTTCCTTTATATTTGTCTGTTTCTTTTCTATGTTTTAATAAATTTTTGTTTTGTTTTATTTTGCGCATTCATTGCTTGCCAGGCTGGTAGCATTAAAATATCGTTAACACCGTCGTTGGCGATGTGTGTGCGTGTGTGTGTTTTTTATTATTTTAACCAAAATTTTAAATATCAAAACGAAAATGGAAAAGAAAAGAAAAAAAGAAAAAAAGAAAGAAAGAAAGAAATAAACAACAACAACAACAACAAAAAGAGGCCTTATCTTGAACCCCCGAAACAAGACTTCCAGAATCAATGAAAAATCACAACTGTAATTTAATTATCTGCTGTAATCGAATCTTGAGGACGCAAACATTGATAAAAGTTGTTACTTTTGCAGGCTTGGTAAAACGAAAACCAAAAACGAAAATTTCACTTTTTCTGCCAAATTTTCGGAGATTGGCGATGTGCGAAATATGTTGAAATAGATAAAGTTGCGTCTTTTGTAAGGGTTTGATAAATATGTTTTTCACTCTCACCGCGTGAATATTTTATCGATTCTCGCATACAACAGTACAAACTGTCACGCGGCGTTTAAGCCAGTGTTACCGAGTTCATTTCCTGTAGAGAGCGTCACAATGGAGAATTGGCGGGCACTTCAATATGGTGTAATGGCTAGAAAGCCTGTCTCGCTAGATCAGTAACGACTGAATAGTGAGTTCGATCCTCACTGGGTGCGCCATGCTTTTCGACCGAGTGCCGCAATTGAGCTATGTTTAGCAAACTGCCTCAGTGGAAAATTGGTCGAGGGTGGAGGAGACAAATTTGCAGTAAAAATATTAATATGCGAGAATGCGACTGAATATGATGGGGCGAAGAAAGATGGGAGAGTGGGAGAAATAGACAGCGTAGGAAAAAGAGAGAGAAACAGAGAAAAGGGGAAAAGAGAAAGAGAGTGGGAAGAGAGTAAGCGAGAAAAAATAGTGAGAGAAAAAAGAGACTTAAAGAAAGGGAAAGAGGTAAGAGAGAGAGAAATTAGAGAGTGATGAAGAGAAAGAATGTGAAAAAGAAAGTGTTAAAATAGAGGGAAAAGAGAGCGGAAAGACGGCGGCAATGGCTGATAGAGTGGGAATATATATATATATATATATATATATATATATATAAGCATACAGATGTGGCAACATCAGTAATACCCAGTCAGATGAAACACGTCACAAAAACTTTTTTTTAATTTGTCATACTATTTTTTTTAAATACTGTTTGTTGATATATAAAATATATATATATATATATATATATATATATATATATATATGTAACATTCAATCCACATTCACGACATCAAAAATTACTCATCGACGACACAACTATCCTACAACAAGAAAATTAATTCAAGCTACGAATACTAGAAGTAATTTATATTAAAAAAAAATTAAAGCCAGTACTGAAGAGAATCATCTATGAATACTGCAGCAATGTTCTGAAATGCCTGTAATGGAGCAGTTTTTTCACGCTTTAATGAGCGCGTGACATAGAGGAAAAAATTCCATAATGGATAACTTTTTTCACGTTCTAATGAACGCTCAGCACATTGTCAACCGTTTTGCATTTAAAAGAATAATGAAAAATTACAGTAATGGATAACAACGCACAATTTATATAAATACATATATTAATGAACAACATATAGTTTTATATTACTTGCACTCCTGAAGATGATCTTGGAAGAAGATCGAAAGTACTTGGGAAATGAAAATAAAAGAAATTTAAACTGCTATAGCACATTTCTCTCATCCTTTAACATCAATACACGGAAGGTTATTCGTGAGTATGAACGGATTTTGTTAAAAATTAGCAGATATAATGTCTGTAATTTATTCAATTAGACATGCCTAAAAGAGAATTTTCTGCCTAAATACACAAATTATCACACACACACACACACACACACACACACACACACACACACACACACATCTATCTATCTATCTATCTATCTATCTATATATATATATATATATATACATTACCCTCTAAAAATATTAAAACGTCAAGTGTTTTGGGCGTTTTACTTTTAAAAAGTTAAGCGCAGAACTAGATTGGAGACAAACTCTCACTAATTTCCAGTCGAGTTGACTAGATGTAGCCGCATGTTCTATGATAACATCTTCTTTTCTCGCACCACTAATTTGTGAAACTCACTTCCGATTTCATGCTTTCCAGCCAACTCAGAGATATAGAGGCCGAAACGTTGTGAATATGGCAATGAAGATGAGGATAGCAGTCTGAATAATGTAAATAATGTAAGTAATCTTAATACCTCATCTCAGAGATATAGAGGCCGAAACGTTGTGAATATGGCAATGAAGATGAGGATAGCAGTCCAAATAATGTAAATAATGTAAGTAATCATAATACCTCATCTCAGAGATATAGAGGTCGAAACGCTGTGAATATGGCAATGAAGATGAAGATAACAGTCCGAATAATGTAAATAATAGAAGTAATACCTCATTTCAGGGATATAGACAAAACTATTAACTTCTTAGTATCAGTTCGAATATCCATTGTCTGGAAAATTATCGGAATATTCATGGTCAGTTTAGCAAGCAAAAAATTCATTTAATGCCGCAACAACAACAATTGACACTTAATTAATAAGTAAATAATCAGTACAAAAACTGACCGCAGTACTTTTCCGTGGTTTTTAATGAAACTTGTATAAAAGAGGGGTTGCTGCCGAGATGCTTCTTTTTATGCGCAATGTCCTTTCAAGATATAGGTGATCATGGCTCTCTACCTCCCTCTATCCCTTGCAGCTCTCCACAAGTTCCTTCCCTCTGCTTTCTCCCCCAGACCACGTTCTGTCACCCACTTGCTGAAGTCCGTCAAGTTTGTCACGCGTTGTTTTCCCTTATCTCTCTTTCTCTCTATTCGACCCGTGAGTATCAGATTCTCCAGGCCCTCCTTCCTCATTATGTGTCCCAGAAACTGCAGCTGCCTCTTCCCTCTCTTTCCCTCTATTCGACCCGTGAGTATCAGATTCACCTTCCCTCTTTCCTCATTATGTGTCTCAGAAACTTCAGCTGCCTCTTCCCTCTCTTTCCCACTATTCGACCCGTGAGTATCAGATTCTCCAGGCCCTCTTTCCTCATCATGTGTCTCAGAAACTCCAGCTGCCTCTTCCCTCTCTTTCCGTCTATTCGACCCGTGAGTATCAGATTCTCCAGGCCCTCTTTCCTCATTATGTGTCTTAGAAACTTCAGCTGCCTCTTCCCTCTCTTTCCCTCTATTCGACCCGTGAGTATCAGATTCTCCAGGCCCTCTTTCCTCATTATGTGTCCCAGAACCTCCAGCTGCTTCTTCCCTCTCTTTCTTTTTATTCGACCCGTGAGTATCAAATTCTCCAGGCCCTCTTTCCTCATTATGTGTCTCAGAAACTTCAGCTACCTCTTCCCTCTCTTTCCCTCTATTCGACCCGTGAGTATCAGATTCTCCAGACCCTCCTTCCTTATTACGTGTCCCAGAAACTGCAGCTGCCTCTTCCCTCTCTTTCCCACTATTCGCCCCGTGAGTATCAGATTCTCCAGGCCCTCTTTCCTTATTATGTGTTCCAGCAACTTCATCTGTCTTTTTCTGATATTAAGTATAAACCCCCTCCCTGTTTGCAACCTCTCTAAGATCTCATCATTACTCACACGCCCGGTCCATGTTATCCTTAGCATCCTTCACATCACCGTCGCGTAGAGTCTCTTCTTCATCGTTGAGGAAATCGTTCAACATACGCTGCCGTAAAGAAGGACAGATGCCACGTAACAGTTCAGTATTCTTTTCTTTGTTACCAAAGAAATCCTCTTGTCTCGCAATACTCTGCTCAGCTTTTGGAATCCAATACGTCTATGGATCTCAGTGTTACACTTACCGTCCTTTGTCAAGACGCTTCCCAGATATTTAAACTTCTGTGTTTACTAGATTCTAGTTTTCCCAACTTGCATTTCGGGCTCTTCCTGGCAACCAACTAGAAAACAAACAATATAACACCCAGGGGAAAAAAAAACCCAAAAAACAAACTTATTTTACGACAAACAATAACAGCTAAAAATGAAATCCAACATTTAAATAATGAAATCCGAAAATATAATGCGATACTAAAAAAGAAAAAAAAATTAAAAAATTAACCGCAGTACCTTATCAGTCGTTTTTAATGAAACTTATATATGATGCACTCTCCGGTCGATTTCGACGTATGAGGATCCGACAATCTCATTCAGTTTTTATGTTTGTATCGTATTTGACACTTCTGTCACGCTGTCTTGTGTGACGACGTCTTTTCACGACCGTCACTTCACATCCAAGGTTGGCTGTACATGCATATACACCCGATTCGCTATTTTCACATGTTCTGGCTACGGAAAAAGGACCGTTATATCCACTGTACGTCTCGTTGACAGCTGACTGCTCACTGCTAGCTAGTACCTTCCTCTCTGACTGCTCCTAATTCATTATATGGACACGGGATGGGGTACCACCACCCCTATATTTTTCTTCTTTTTTTTTAAAGATTTATTCTTTTTTCTTTTAGTTTCAAAGTTCTTCCTTTTTCCACGTTTTTCTTCCTTTTCCATGCTGTTTTTTTTTCAACGAAATCTTTTTTTTAAATTCTTTACTTTTCAGCCGCTCACTTTTTCTTCTTCACTTCAACTTTCTCCTTCTTTTTTTCCTTCTCCATTCCTTTTTTTAAGTTCTCCTTTTTTTTATTATTTCCGTGGCAACTTAGGGTCAAATCCTTATCGCAGCAGCCATATGTAACGACGTCTTCCGCACGTCCGTCACTGCACAAGTGTGATGATATCCAAGGTCGGCCATGTATGCATATACACCAGACTCACTATGTTCACAAGTTTGGTTCATTGACCGTGATCAAATTCATCAAAGAATAATGAAAAATGCTTTTCAAGGCACTGATTGGGAAGTAGTAAATAATACGATTTCTCACTAAATTGGCAATGTCTTTCGGCATCGAGAAGGTGAACTGTTTTCCTACTAATTTCCGGCCACGGAAAGAAAACCCTTACATTTACTGACCGTCTCGGCGACTGTTGACTTCTCATTGATCGCTGGTTCCTTTCTCTTTGATTGCTCCTGATTGACTACTCATTCTATGGACACCAGCTGGTGTCCCACCACCCCTATCCGTCCACTTGTGTTTAGGAAAAGGAGACCACCCATTCAGCTTTTGGGTAGTCAGTTTTTCAAAGGAATCTACTTTTATGTTAATCTAAAATCTCTAACAAAATTTTATGTTTGCCAATTCAGCGGCGGGCTGAAAACAGGGTTCCTGAAACTCTCAAAAAGTGACTAAAAAGAAGACCTGGAGACGAGATTCCTAAGAAACTCTGGTAATTAAATTGACTTTAAAGGAAAAAAGAATTTATTTACTTCCTATGGGTGTGAAAGAAATCGTCCACATATTTTGCAAAAGCGAGGAACTCGGGACATAGCCAGAGGAACATTTGCTGACGCTTTTCTCCATTATCTTTTGTCTCTTAGCCTCTCAATACGACTGATTTCAAAATTTCCGATACAACTCGGGCACAAATATCTCCAGTTCACTCTATCCATGACATCTCGCTCGAGAGTTAGTATAAGACACGTTGACAGCTGAGAGGTTACCCTTTAGCCTGTCTTTATACCCGGGCACGGCTGTCAAGCACTCCTTTGTCCACTGTCAAGCTGGCTATACATGAGGACCTTAGATATTCTGTTGATAATCATCATTGCAAGATGACCAGCCCCCCCTCTCTCTCTCTCTCTCTCTCTCTATATATATATATATATATATATATATATATCATTCGCAGACAGTACTGTTTTGCTGTGTCACAGCTCCTCAGTGCGACTAGGCATCCGAATACTTCAAGCCCGGATCGAAACCCAACCAATCAGTCAGAGTTTCTACCACTGAGCTATCTTCATTCGACAGAGAGAAACAGCTAAATCTAGCGTATTGTTTTTACGAATGTAAACAAATGCCAATCAGCCGGAGTGCTCCAATTCATTTTACTGAAGAGCTTTGCATTAACGCAGGTGGCTGTTGTTTATAGAATTAGCCTATCACTCAACAGTGCTCAATTGAAATATATTTTCAAGAGCTATATAAGGATTAAAAAACAAAATAGGATGGCTGGAGGTGACATTGAAAGAAGAAAAATAGTTAAAAATAAAATAATTCAGAAGTAGCAGGATACATACATTTAAAACGGGCAAAGTTAGTTTATAGGATTCTTGACCAAATGTAAAGAAAAAAAAGAGTAGGATTTTAAATACACTGGGCGATTCAAGTCACATTATCTAACGCCAGGAACTATTTTTAGATTGTAAGAATTTGGGGGAGATAATACTGATTTACAAGTTCTACTATTTAACCCACAGCTTGGGGTATTCCGTGTAAGTGGATGTAAAGAATCCGACTGGAATTTGAACTTTGCTCTCCGATTTCCAATTTAAAGGAGTTATCTATCACACCACCCGCACACACTGAGCAGGCTCGACGTTGTTTAAATAACTCGTACAAGAGCCGGTGTCTCAACATGATAGGGTATGGCCATGTATTATTGAGAAGATATCCTCTTACTTTATATTTGGCGGGAAAACTCGACAATACTGAGGAGGGTGCTGGAAAGAAACTAGATCTATACTTTCCAATGTAGAATCCCATTTTTACAGCGATTTCTTTTATTATTTTTTAGTAAACAATCGGGGTGTATTTTTTTTTAATTTTCCGTTTAGGCACGAGTGTTTTCCCCTCCCGCCTCACCCCCCATATATATATATATATATATATATATATATATATATATATATATATATTATCTGAAAAGGCTCTTCTGCTGTTTCCATCCTCTTGTGAGTTCCTTACCGGAGTTTATACTGCTGCAGCAGCAGCTGTTGAGTTGCTTTCCTCTTCCCCAGGCAATGTCCCCAGGGCGTTACACGAGAGGGTCATGATGTGATGATTTTTCGTTTGAAATTTGGCAGTCTGCAGACATCTAGTCGTTCGTTACATAGAGAGTGACCCGAGGATATCTTCAGCGTGGGTACCAGGCTAACGGAGACAGTAATACTGATAATCATCAACTGAAGAAAGATGATGATGATGATGATGATGTTAGGAATAATAATAATAATAATAGCGAGAAGAAAAAAGGAGATGTAGAAGGAGAAGACTAAATTAGCCAAGAAGAAGACGGCGAAGAAGGACAACAACAACAACAACAATAATAATAATAATAATAATAATAATAATGACAGTCATGTAGGAGAAGAAGACGGCGCAGAAGAAAAATGCTACTACTACTACTAATAATAATAGTGAGAACAAAAATATGTCGAAGAAGACGAAGGTAGTCAAGAAGACGGCAGAGGAAGACAACAACAACAACAACAACAACAACAACAACAACAACAATAATAATAATAATGTAATAACATTAAAAAACAGAAATGACATTATAGTCAAAGATAATAATGATAATAGTAAGAAGAAAAAGGAGATGTAGAAGGAGAAGACGAAGGTAGCCAAGGAAGAAGATGGAGAAGAAGGACGATGATAATAATAATAATAATGAGAAAGAAAAAGAGATGTGGAAGAAGAAGACGAAGTTAGCTAAGAAGAAGACGACTAAGAAGGTCAATAATAATAATAATAATAATAGTAATAATAATAATAGTGAGAAGAAAAATGAGATTTAGAAGAAGACAAAGGTAGCCAAGGAAGAAGACGGCGAAGAAGGATAATAATAATAATAATAATAATAATAATAATAATAATAATAATAATAATAATAAACTGAAAGAAACTGGTATGAACACCACCCAGACCCGGTTACGGAGATAAGACCTGTTACAATTCTATGGGACTACACAATACACACTGACAGAACAATCAAGGCCAACCGGCCAGATATTGTTATTAAAGACCACAAACAAAAAAAAGTGCCTCCTTATTGATATGGCAGTCCCTGCTGACTGAAATGTATCTTTGAAGATATTCAAAAAGCTGTCAAAATACAAGGACCTTGAAATAGAAATCTCGAAAATGTGGCATATGGGAACATCAACAATCCCTGTTGTAGTTGGAGCCCTAGGACTGGTTGGAAAAGATTGCAGTAGACTAATTGAAGGGATTCCTGGAAGTCCATGCCTCAAGGAGATACAAAAAAATTGTTCTGACAAGTACAGCCCACACTTTACGAAGGGCTTTATCTATGTAATTTTTTTTTTTTTTTTTTTGTCAGTGGAAAGTGTCATGACGCCATTTCTAATCTTAGGTCTCTAAGGGACACGGAAAGAAATGTAAACGCCAGAATTCAAAGAAAATAAAAAAATAATAATAATAGTGAGAAGAAAAAATGAGATGTAGAAGGAGAAGACGAAGGGAGCCAAGAAGAAGACGGCGAAGAAGGATAATAATAATAATAATAATAATATCGAGGAGAATAAGAAGATGTAGAAGGAGAAGACGAAGGAAGCCAAGAAGAAGACGGCGAATAATAATAATAATAAGTCTAGATGAATAAAAGATTAAACAACAGACTAAAAAATCGCATTTGGAAGGCAAATTTAAACCGAGAGATTAAGGAAATCAGATTTGCGTTATCGATACTCGATGAGATTTCAAGAAATGAAAATGTTTCAACACGGAAAAGTAAGAAAATCAAGCAGAAACATAAAATAAAAATCAGTAAATGAAATTCCACCACTTTAAGGAATTGTTTAAACAGGAACTGCAATAAAAGACACAGAGAACAAGATAAAATTCTAAAGTCTTGGAGGTTCTATCAACAAAATAAGATATTCCAAACTGACTTCAAGAATTTTTACAGGGAAAGTCGAAAAGCGGTTATAGAAGTCTAAAAGCCATCATCTATTGAAGAAGTGCAAAAATTTTGGCAGAGTATTTGGAGCAACTCTAAGAAATATAATCCTAATGCAGAATGGATCAAGAGAACAAGAAAGAATGAAAGATAAACCTCTACAAGAACGGGAAAATATAATCCAGAATAATTTTAGGCAAACACTAACAAAATTCTTAAAATGGAAATCCACAGGAAATATATATATCCGTCATCCATATGCATATTTATTAATAAATACTTAATAGTTGTGTTGCATTAGATAGAGCACTATTAAATTAACACTAGAACTATATGTGTGATATATTATAATTGCATGCACACATCTATCTATCTATCTATCTATCTATCTATCTATCTATCTATCTATCTATGTGTGTGTAGATTGAATCAGAGAAATGAATTGGCTACTTTTTGCCGTCATTGTCAAAAATGTTCCTTTAATAATATTTAAAAATAAAATTAAAAAAAATGTAACCTGGTAATATACATACTTATACTTGATATGAAAAAATAATTTTATATACTGGAAGTAATTCTAGTACATTTACTTGTTTTAAAAGAAATATAGTCTATTGAAAATTAAAAGTGAACATATCTTAAAATTGTAGTTAAATAAAACGTATTCTAACCTAAACATCTCAAAAAAACTTTTAAGTATACAAACAGAAAAAATGCCGTAAGAATTTTTTGTCGTTAACAATAAAATTAAAAAAAAACCCAGACGACATGCATTTAACGGATGTCAGAATCCATTGAAAAAATACATCCCTACCCTTACCTAAACATAACCCCTTTTTCGAACGTAACTAATAACTGATACAGAAAAAGTTAATAAAAATGAACACGCTACCACCCCTTGTCTGAATGATTGGATCTCTCTGTATCCTCGGAAACAATGAATTATGAATTTTTCTGTGCCTTTAAAACTCAGTAAATTTTAAAAAATAAGTTACTCCAAAATTCGCTTGAGGATGAAATGAAACTAATGTTTTTAATTTAATTAGAAAATTAAATTCAAAGATTTTAGCTTCCATTTTTGAAACATGGTTATTACTGTGCGGCGAAAAAAACATATATTAAATAAGTTAATTTATAATATTAATGCTCTGTAAAATTACATTCAGCACTATTTTGTAAAAATAAAAAAAATTATCAATAAGGACACTGGATTATATATCTTACTGTTTTTTTTTCTTTTTTTCTTTATATATATATATATATATATATATATATATATATATATATATATATATATATATATATAATAAATGAAAAATCGCCAGAAAATGACAAGGTACACAACTAATGGCTCTATCATTTGTCATTGATTCATAAAACTCTTCCACAAATTTTATCAATGCTAATTAATAACCCCAATTAAATTCCACAATGGATCACTGAAGATATTACATATTTTCAAAAAAAAAAAAAAAAAAAAAAAAAAAAACGTTTGGAAAAGATGATCCAAAAACTGTAGCCTAATATCATGCCTGTCTGCCACATAAATTGATTACGTCTGTACTGACGAACTATGCTTACTCTTTTCACTATGAAGACAACATTCTTCCGCTAGAAAAAAAGGGATGTCGAAGAGATTCAAATGGTTGCAAAGATCAAATACTAATAAATAAAACGATTCAAGAAAATTGCAGAAAAAAAAGTTATAAATCTCATCACAATTTGGATAGATTACCGTAAACCCGTTAATAGTATACCGAACACATGGATCATTGAGATTTTGGAAATGCACAAATTCTCCTTGGTGATATTAAATTTCCTTAAATATAGAAAGAAACTGCGGAAAACAACATTATGCCTAAATCACACCTAAAGCACTGTCGCATCCAACTGTTTGAATATCCGACGAGGAAACTTTCTAGGAGACACCGATATCTTCGTCTGCCGAAATAGGCTATCCTCACAAGAGGCGATTTTGGATTTTATTGTTTATAATTATATATATATATATATATATATATATATATATATATATATATATATATATATATATATATATATATATATATAGTTACTTGCTACTTACTTCAAGTAGATCAGTTCCTAGAAAACCGTCAGCCCGACACCGGCACATGAGATTTGATTATAGTGGTAAAGGTTTCGTGCAGGACCAGCCACACTTTTTGAAGGTCTGAATACAGAGACCTGGTACACTAAGTGCCACAAGGTCCCTAAATGACCCGTTGATAGTGTACCAAACACATGGATCATTGAGATTTTGGAAATGCACAAAGTCTCCTCGGTGATATTAAATTTCCTTAAATACAGAATGAATCTGTGGAAAACAACGTTATGCCTAAATCACACCTAAAGCACTGTCGCATCCAACTGTTTGAATACCCGACGTGGAAACTTTCTAGGAGACACCCTGTAGACCATGTCTGTTCTGTTTTTTTGTCCTTCATCCCCCTTTCGCATGAACTAAAGACTAATAAATAGGCATACAAAAAAGAAAAAGTGTTTAATCACCTATTCGACATGGGTCGTATCAAACTCTTTGCCAAAGACTACAATGTCTCGAAGGATATCCTCAATAATGTAAAATGTTTCACTGATGACATCGGTATGGATTTCAGATTAGATCAATGTTCAAAAGTAATATTCAAGAAAGGGAGAATCACAGAAACACATTCTAAAGATCTAGATTTTCTTACGAGAACTGGACCAAGAAGAAGTCGATAAATATCTAGGAGTGGGCGAAGAAAACTGAATACAGCTTGGCTTGGTTTGTTTTGTTTTACGGCATATCAACACATCAATGGGTTATTTAATGCCGACAAAATTTTTACTGCTGCTAATATTTCTTTTTCAAAATGTATTGCTGGTAATATTTTTTTTCCTTCAAAAATATATTTCTGGGAATATTTTTTCTTAAAAAATCTATCACTGGTAATATTTTTCAAAAAAAAATATATTTCTGGGAATATTTTTTCTTAAAAAATCTATCACTGGTAATATTTTTCAAAAATGTATTGCTGGTAATATTTTTTTTCCTTCAAAAATATATTTCTGGGAATATTTTTTCTTAAAAAATCTATCACTGGTAATATTTTTCAAAAATGTATTGCTGGTAATATTTTTTTTCCTTCAAATATATTTCTGGGAATATTTTTTCTTAAAAAATGTATTGCTGGTAATATTTTTTTTCAAAAATGTATTGCTGGAAATAATGTATTGCTGGTAATAAATTTTTAAAAGTATTTATGGTATTAAAACCTATTTTTAATCTTTCATAGTGTTTTGACCCCAGTTTTGGGATTAACTATTTGCCCATAGCTGGGACCCTAACAGGTGCTACCACCCCGGGTCAGGGTGGACCTGGGAACAACGGCAATTAAAAGGTGGTTCCACGCTCCTAAAAACCTCCTGATGAGAGGCCTTGCTGTTGGACGTAGTTTATCGTCTTACCCAGGACGCGGATGCATTTATCGTCATACCCAGGACTTTTGAATACAGCATACCCAAATGAAGGAGAAAGTAAGTAAAGAATACTACAGTCTTGTGCGTCTGGTGTTAAATACCGAGTTGAATTGACAAAACAGAATATCAGCCATAAATACTTTGGTGAAATATATTTTAAAAATACCTAACTCGACCATAGCTACTATTAAGTGACTGGACGCCAAAACGAGAAAGCTTCGCATTTGCCACCGCATGCATCTTCCTAAGGCTGATGTTGATCGTCTGTATATGCCCAGATCCAAAGGAGGCAGAGGATTAGTTCAACTAGAACTGTTTTACACAACCTCAACAACCAATCTTTAAAGATACCTGGAAATTACAGAACACTATATGATGATCTGTGTCAAAGAACATGGATGAGTAAGAACATTTATTCAGTGATAAATGAAGCCTACAAAATCAAAATGTAATTTCAAATGGGTGAAAAGTGTAAATAAACCATAATATACTTACTGGAGCGGCAAAGAATCTAAAAAAGAAAGCAAAAGCGCATGCAATGAACCAGATGGCAACATAAGCCTCTTCGTGGTCAACACTCTGCCAGTATAAAAAAAAATGTTGATGTAGACAAACCCCATGCCCATCAGTGGTTACGCAGTGCAGGATTAAATGGCTGATGTTGATCGTTTGTATGTGTCCAGATCCGAAGGAGGCAGAGGATTAGTTCAACTAGAACTGTCTTACAAAACCACAACAATCGGTCTTCAAAGATATCTGGAAACTACAGAAGACTGGATGATGATCTGTGTCAAAGAACATGGAAGAAATAAGAAACTTTTTTCAGTAATAATGGAAGTCAACAAATTCAAAATGGAATTTCAAGTGGGTGAAGAAATGCAAATAAAAAATAATACACCTATTGCAGCGACAAATAACCTAAAAAAGAAAGCAAATGCAACGTATCGAAATGTGTTAACCCGAAATGCAGAAACTATTAACCATATTGCATCAGGTTGCACCGTGTTACCACCCACTAAATATAAAACTCGGCATGACAGAGTGGACCAATATCTGCTCGATGTGGTAGCTCATGCACTATTGTTTTTCTCTCTTCCCTTTTACCGGCAGTATGGCCTGTGAGAGTCAAATACTGCAAGCCCCCTTCTGTGTCCCTAGAATTTCAAATCTAACTTTCTCATTGTAAGTATAAAGTGTTCTTTTCGTTCACAATTTTCGCAAAACTTCCTCGTTGATCACATTTTATGACCATGACATTCCCAGAGAGCAAATCTCAGAATCAGCGAGTCCCTTCATCATCTTTAAGGAAAACGTCCAACTTCCACTGCCATATTAATTCAACATTCTTTGTTTCTAATGAGATTTTTCAAACCCTTGTTTTGTTTATGGAAGGTGATTTTCGCTGATTCAGGGCGTCTATTAATACCTACGCGTAGGCAGTGCTAATCATTTCTTCAGATTTCGCAGCATTTCACTTTTGGGATTATGCCAGGCATGTGGTTTTCACCGTTACTCTGTTCGTCTTTGGGAAGCTCTGCAAAGAGTGTCGGTCCGTGGTAGTAATTAAAGTATTTCTGGCATTAATGATTAATTAAAATAATAAATAAGGTAATAAAAGAACTATTACTCACTGATTATGATGTTATGATACTAATTAAGTAAGCTAATTAAATTGTTAATTAAGATAATTATATATAATCAGTCTTTTGATGAATAATGAAAATCAAAACTGAAATCCAAAGATAGATATGAACAGATCGAACGGGATTGATAGACTGTAACGGGCAGATTGAAAAACAGAGATAGATAGATAGATAGATAGATAGATAGATAGATAGATAGATAGATACGGAAAATGACAGAGATGGAACTAAACAGACTGAGATAGATAGATAGATAGATAGATAGATAGATGAACAGAAATAGATAGGAACAGACTGAAACAGATAGGTATAGATAGATATTAAGAGTCTGCGATAGACAAATAGATAGATATGAAGAAACACACACACAGATATATATATATATATATATATACAGTAATATGAATAGACTGATAGATAGATAGATAGATAGATAGATAGATAGATAGATAGATAGATATGAAGAAATTCAGATAGTTTGGAACATATACTGAAATTGATAAATACATATTAAAAGACTGAGAGATAGATATGGAGAAGCTGATATATGTATATATATAGTGATATGAAGAGATAGATATGAATAGACTGAAATAGATAGATATATATACAGATTGCGTGGGCTAAATTGTCGTGTAAATTATGAAACAAATAACACTGAGATATCCTTTTAACAGATATACTTACCAAATTTAAACAAAAATATCTTGAAATACTAAAGCGTAAATTTATTCAATGATGTCACCTCGGCCTCCAGACGACTTCGGAATCTCCTGCAACTTTTCTGGACGGTCTCCTTGTTTTAATTGGTGAATGCTGTCGTAATTCTTGCCTTCAGTTCATCTTTGGTGTTACGTGTTTTGTTTGTCTCTCACACAACTGTAAATAAATTCATTTCGTTTTTTGCTTTGAGGAAGTCCAAATTGGACGAAACACGTCCACAACTATTACAGTTTTCCTATTGTCATTTATATTTATAAATATTGTCTTTTTTACAGGTTAACTCTGAGAAATTTTCATATATATATATATATATATATATATATATATATATATATATATATATATTAATTAAAATGGACAAAGTCCGACAATTTATTTATTAAAGACATTTTTATGTTTAACGTTATCTATATATATAAAAAAAAGAGAACGTTAAACATAAAAATGTCTTTAATAAATAAATTGTCGGACTTTGTCCATTTCTTAATATATGACGTCATTTGTTTACATTTGATACGCCATGAGCAGTTATGAATGTACGAGATTCATGGAAGATTGAAGTTTATAAACAGTAAATTCGACCTTGTCTACCGAAAGGTTCTTTGTGGCCCAGAGGTTAGGAACGTCAGCGTAAATGACGGTTCCGTATAGGATGCAGGTTCGAATCCTGTCAAAGAACGAATATTTTCTATGAAAATTTCTCGGACATTCTGGCCGGTAAATGTTATTTAATACTGTTTATTATAAACAGAGCATTTGCTTAAATACTTGTATCTATATAAAAAAAAGGAACGTTAAACATAAAAATGTCTTTAATATATATATTTTGAACTGCTTTGACCGAATTTTACGTTTCATACTAGAAATATTTCATTTTTGAGTAAAAATAATTTTTATACGGGTAACAATTGTTGGGTGCTCGATTAACAATTTAAGTACCTCGTTTAACAGATAGGCATATTGTAAATTCTTCATTGGTTGTCGCAAAGCGGGGTATGAATAAGGGTTTAGTTTTTACATTAACCAAATACGTCGCAAATTGATCCTCTTCTTTACAGATAATTCATTCGCTTCTTCTAGTGAACTAAATCGGCCTGTAAACCATTAAATTTCGCTTACTATCGGGTACTTCTGGGAGCTAGCTGTGTGGCTCACACTCTGAGGACCTATACCTCAGAATATTCTTCAGTCTCGTGAGTAGCCCACAATGTGGTAATCTGCCTGCTATCAGCATGACTGACGCTAGACACTTAGGGAGCAACACACTACGCCTTACTGGTCTCATCTGACTTGAAGTATCCCGCTCGGCCCGGTGGCTAGGATCAAAGTGTAGTATCTGCGCTTTGTGAGCTGCCGGTTCGGAGCTCTGCCGAAGGGTAGGGTTTCGTTGGGGGAGGTTGACGGAACTGGCCCGCCTCGGCGGGTTTGGATGGTTATTTATTTTTGGCTGGGCCTACGGGCTCAGAGATACCCACATTAAAAAGGCCTTGTGCCACATTCGATCCCCGTGGGTGGATTGATAAATACCATCTGACTTGAAGTGGAGGGACTACATCGATTCAATGGCTGCATCTACTGCAAGGAAAGTTGGGTCACTGTGTCGAGATAGAAAATTTTTCTCGTCAGAGTCCATCTTGTACATTTAAAAAACTACCGTTCGTCCGTACATTGAATACTGCTGCCATATCTGGTCTGATGTTCCTGCTGTACATCTCAAGAAGGATCTGTAATTTAATCGATCCTGGCTTGGCATCTCGACTTCAGTCACTTTCGTACCGACTGTCTTCTCTCTGCCTTTTCTACAAATATTTTCATGGCAACTGCGGGGTTTTAAGTGTGCTTTTGAAATAGCTTACTTACTGTTGAAATAGCTAAATGTCACTGCCATTTCTAGTTTAACAGATTCTTTTCTCGCACTTCCCACCTGTGGAATTCCCTTCCGCTTCCTTGCTTCCCTGATAATTACAATCTTCAAAAATTTAAATGCACTGTCAATCGCTATATTCTATCTTCTTGAATCTCGTTGATCTATTGTCTTTTCCTCAATACCCCCCCTATACCCAGCCGTTTCTCCTACTTTTATCCCCCTGTAACCCCCCGCGTACTAGGGGCATTCCTGCATTGCTTTGGAAGAAATGATTAAAAAATTTTTTAAAAATAAATATGTACAAAGAATTTGTTATGAAGCGATTATTTGAAACCTAGTATAGAAGACCGTTCATTTAGCGCTCTATATTTTTTACCTGTGCCAGACACAGATAAAAGTATTTACTGTATTTTCTGTTTTAACTAAAGATTATTATTAGGTTTCAAATTAGATCTTAATTTTTCGAAATCATGTTCCTTTCAGTGACGGGGTATCTCTCGTAGATTGAAAAAAAACAAAAAAACATAGGTGTTTGAGAGTGATACAATGGTGATGTTCTGGTGATGGGGATTATATTATAGCTGTTGGTGAGGTAAATGAGCGTGAAAGAGTTAAAAAACAGAAACATTATTAACGAGAACAACGGAAGAGTAATCAGGAAGACAGTAGATAACGATTGACATTGCATTTAGATTTTTGATTCAAAGTGTGGGCGAGTAGTAGCCCATAAATAGAGAATACAGTAAAACTATATTTGTATCATATCAAGTGGGAAGTGCGATAGCAGAAACTCTTAGCATAGAACTTGCGGTTATATCTAGCCACTAAGACACAAGGGGTTACTGAGTGTAAAAGACTAAGAAAAAAAATCAAAGGTTATTAAGAAGAGAGAAAATAGAAGAGTAATTAAGAAAGCAGTAGATAACGATTGACATTGCATTTAAATTTTTGAAGATCAAATTTGGCTGGAACGTATGGAGCCGGAAGAGAGTTCCACAAGCGAGAAGTGCGATAGAAGAAACTATTAACATAGAACTTGCGGTTATATCTAGCCACCTCAAGTGTGAACTGGTGAGACCTTGCCGCCAATCTAGTACTGCGTTTAAATTTGCATATTCTAGGTACCATAGCGAAGAGGTCATGCAAACACTTACCATGGAAGTATTTATAGAAGAGGCACAGTGAAGCCGAGAAGCTAGGTCAGGATCAATAACATTGCAGATTCTTTTAGATTTTATCAAGAATCTAGCGATATTCAAAGTGTGGGCGAGTAGTAGCCCATAAATAGAGAATACAGTAAAACTATATTTGTATCATATATATATATATATATATATATATATATATATAGTTAAGTTACGAAGAACTTGGTAAACCGAATGGGTAATTCCAAGGAGGATGAAATCCTGAGAGCTCAATGTGAATACAGAGCTAATATTTAATGAAAAACAGACCACATTAAGGTACCATTACAATAGTTTATTTCACCAAAATCCTTTTTGAAGGACTCCTGATAATCAGGTAACAATTGTTGGAATTGTTACCTGATGATCCGGAGTCCTTTAAAAAGGATTTTAGTGAAATAAATTATTGTAATGGTACCTTAAAGTGGTTTGTTTTTCATTAAATAATTATATATATATATATATTAATCGAAATCAATCCAAACAAGCTAGCAAGATACAAGGGGTTACTGGGTGCAAAATAATTAAACAACACGAAGATTATCCAGGAACAAGAACAACAGAAGAGTAACCAGGAAGACAGTAGATGACGATTGACATTGCACCTAAATTTTTGAAGGTCAAAGTTGGCTGGAAAAGATGGAGCTAGAAGAATGCCTCTGGTGTTTATGAATGCCGTAGAAATATTGTTCTACAGAAGGATACTGAGTATATCATGAACCGAATGTGTGAGTAACGACGATGTTTTAGAGGAAATAGAAACAAAAAAGAAACTTCTACTTAACATCAGGAAGAGGCAGTTGAAATGTCTAGGGGACATAATGAGAAAAGAAGGCTTGGAAAATCTGGTACTCACAGGACAGACTGAAGGCAAGAGGGACAGAGGAAAACGGCGCATCGCATGCTTGATTAAGCGGATGTTGGAACTAGGTTTAGGAAAAGTAACAAAAAGATAAAATGTAATAAAAGCTATGAAGGACAGAAAATTGTGGAGAGTCATGCTCGCCTACGTCCCGAAGGGACACGGCACATAAAAAAGAAGTGCTGGACGTGATCATGTTGGTGGTGGAGGAAGGTAACAGTGGAGAGTATGTCGGTAATACTGCCTTGATAAAGTCGACGATGGTGTCGATGGTGAAGATGAGAGTTATGGTGGAAGAGTGGGTTTCGGCGGTGGAGTTGATTAACGTAATGGTGGAAGCAATGAAGCTTATAAAACTGATGGTGGCGGAGGCTTCCGAAGTGGATTATGATGGTGATGGAGAGAGAGAGAGAGAGAGAGAGAGAGAGAGAGAGAGAGAGAGAGTCGCATTGATGATACTGATACTAACGCTACAAATAATAATAATAATAATAATAATAACGGCGTTTTCATTTTCTCCTTCACCCAGTAAGCCACCGCCATCTCCAAATCTGCACCGTTTCTTTCCTTCTCACATGTTTTTCTCTCTTTCCTTGTTTTCTTACTTTGACATTTCAAAGGTGTATCTCAGCCCGAAAGCACGTATCTGCCATTCCTGACATTTAAGTACGTATTAGCTAGGGGCTGGGTTTCTTAACCTGGGGTCCAACGAGCCCAGAGGAATTCACGGATCGTCTACAGGGGGTTCATGAACCAAGAGAACACTTTTTTTTTTTTTATTCGCTGAACTGTTTTTTTTTCTCCTCTCCCTTGCCAGATTCTTTACATAAAAGTTGTTATGTAAAGCAAAACTCAGAAGAAGATGGAGGGTATCATTGTTGCTCATCTGGTACAAACGTCTTTTTTTTTTTTTTAAAGCTCTGCTGTTGAGACAAACACAGTTGAACCGCGTTCAATCTCTCTGGCGTCTAGAAAATTGAACTGATATTAAGCGAGTCATTATTCACAGTAAGTCGTCAAGATATTAAAAACTGATATTTTCTAAAAAAATAATGCAGAAAAAATATTTATATCTGTGGTTCTCAAACTTTTTGTAGTCTTGGGCACACTTCAAATCCTATATATGGGTCTGTTATATGAAGATGTAAAATGTCGTAAACTGGTCAGAGCTTTCCTGTTGAATTTCTGTTGAATCGTCAAATAACTGCGGATATTTCATTACGTGTTTTGTTAGCAGCTCTGATGTTTTTTTTTTTATAATTACTGTTGTCAATATTTGTCTTTCTATAAAAGATTTTTACCAAAAGGAGGACATGAAGAAAACTGATAATTCATTCATTGTTTTCATAAAAAAAACCCCCAAAAACTGATAATAATCGAACCGCGTCTGTCAAACATTGACGATGTCTGGTGGCATTGACTGCAGCAGAAGTAGTCCAGTAAATTTCGGTTTTGACCTAGAATAAACTAGTACATTAGCGATTTTTGTGGTAAAAACTGTACAGCAGTGGTTCACAAACCTTTTGAAGTCGGGACGCACTTGAAATCCTACTAATAATCCTAAGCGGACTATATACAAATTTCGGAAAAATATATTACAATGAAGTCAAATATTGCAGAACTTCGGAAATACGCACTTTTATTGCGCAGGAGGATGTCGTCAGTGATGTAATTACTCAGGTCATTGGGTAGTTTAGGGCCTTGCAACATCATACCATCCTCGCCGAGTCGACCCCGTTAGAGCTGATCAGGCTCCGACGCACCCTCCTATTATTTATTTGTAAGAAATACAAAATGCGGCACAAGGCCAAAAAGGGGGATGGGGAAAGACGGTCTTCATCTGTCTTAAATCTAAACTTAGCTAGTCGCAGACACTGACCCAAACATGCCAACAATAATCCAATCACCAAAACAACACATTCACTCCTACCTTTCTTACTACGTCCACCATAATACCTCAGATTCTCTATGAAGTCCTAACTAGTTCCCTTATGTACAGATATTGTTCATGGGGGGAGGGTCATAAAAATAACAATTTTTAAAAAAAAATCCCCAATGTGTATATACAATATGACGAAATATATTTACAAGAAACTAAAAACAAAATTAGTGTTAGTATTAAAACCCCCCACATCCGACGCACGCTCCTTCTGTACCACGCTATGCGACACTGATTTTTATAATTGTCTCAGCCGACTTGTACTCGATACTAGCAGAATGCACATAGGGAAAGTCCATAGCGCTCAGGTAAGTTGGGTTATTCAAAAAGTCAGAAAGAAGAAATTTTTGTTAATTTGTTGCTAGTTTTTAAGTTTATATATTAAAAACAGTAATAATATGTCCCATCCAGAATGACTGTAGGTTAACCGATTAAAATAAATGTACTTATAAAAAAGGTATAATGCAATAAAATAAAATAAAATGAAACATACGTTAAGTTTATTCATTCTTGTGTTAATGAGAAACATGAGCCTGATGAGTCTTAATGATTTCATTAATGTTTGGACGTATATCTGATAGGCAAACTTTTATTTCCTCCTCAATACATTGAAGAGTTCCTCTCTTTTTGCACTTAATTGTGGTGAGAGCAGAAAAGCCTAATTCATATAAATATGAACGAGACGGGTACCGCAATATATTAAAGTAAATATATTTATTTCTTATATCTGGACACATATTTCTCCGGAATGCCAGGACGCATCTAGACATATTCCAAGGCGCAACTGTGCGTCCAGGCGCACCGCTTGAGAACCATTGTGTCAGAATGAAGATATTTTTAATCAGAACAGGGATGAGGAGAGACAGCAAAAAGACAAACATTGCTAAGAGATATAAGGGATAGGAAGTTGTGGAGAGACACAACAGCACACGTCCTGAAGTCATACAGCACAAAGAAAAAGATGAAGATCCCCGCTACTTAACGAATGTGTAAATGGTCGGCAGAACTGGGGTTAGGAGAAATAGCCGAAAAATAAATATATTTATTTCTTATATCTGGGCACATATTTCTCTGGAATGCTAGGGCGCATCTAGACATTTTCCAGGGCGCAGATGTGCGTCCAGGCGCACCGTTTGAGAACAACTGATCTATATTGATATTTGAAATCTGGGTAATCTTATCACGGAGGAAGAGGAGACTTCAACGGATAGAGATATGGTTTTTACCGACTGTTGTTGAGCATACCATGGGCAGAAAATAGAAGTAACGAGGTCGGTTTAAGAAAATAGGCAAAAAAAGAAGAAAATTATTATTTACGCTATTTATATTCGGACTACTATCCTCATCTTTGTTGTTTCCATTACGACGTTTCGCCAGTTGTGACCTCCGGTCTTCCTACGAGGAATTCCGAACTAAACCCTTGATTTAATGTATGTGGGTAGACATCTTTAGTTCGATGTTTCTCATACTAGATGTATTTTACTGTTCAGTTATAACCATTT